ATCTCTCACTATCATACTTTAAATCAATAAAACTTACATATCTATCACATATTTAACTCGCATCATAACTTACCTAAATAATAATAATGAAAAACAAATAGAAACCACAGACAAATTAAATTTAAAAGAAAAAAATAAAAACCCACAACTCCATCTAAAATAAATTGAAAAAAAATTAACTAGAAACCATACAAAAATAAAGAAGATAAGAATTTAGATATGGATCTCAAAAAGATATAACAATATTTAAATTTGAATTATGATTTAATAATATAATTATCTATTTTTTTGATATATATCTATCAAAATTTGAAATCATGGACAAATTAATTAATTTTCTAAAATTATTGACTTTTCAATTTATAAAAAGATTTAAAAAAAATATATTGACTGATTTATTTATTTAATTATTTTATAGATAATAATTATCATTTGATTCATGAATTTCAAATGGAAATATAACAAAAATATTTCATAATCTCTCTATCCTAATCTCTCTCACCGATTTCTAAAAAAAAATATTAAAACTTGCTTTCTAAAATTATTGATTTTTCAATTTATAAAAAGATTTTTTTTAAAAATATTGACTGATTTATTTATTTAATTATTTTCGAGATAATAATTATCCTTTGATTCATGAATTTCAAATGGAAATATAACAAAAATATTTCATAATCTCTCTATCCTAATCTCTCTCACCGATTTCTAAAAAAAAATATTAAAACTTGCCTGCGTTCTCTTTTTCCTAAAAAATCAGATAATATTTTTTATGAAAATTGTGAATATCTATCTATATCTTATATATTATATTATATTATATTATAACAAAAAAAAAACTAAAAATAAGATATACAAACAGATAAAATTAATAAATTTGATTTTTATTTATTCAGTTAAAATCTTTCTTTTGCATCTCAATATCTAATTTTAAATTTTAAGAATCTTTAAAGTTTATCTAAACAAATCTAATTTGAAAATGTCTCCCACCATCATATTTTAAATCAATAAAACTCACATATCTATCACATATCTAACTCACATCATAACTTACCTAAATAACAATAATTAAAAACAAATAGAAACTATAGATAAATTAAATTGAAAAAAAAAATAGAAACCCACAGCACCATCTTAAATAAATTGAAAAAAATAAAACAAAACAAAACAAAAAATAGAAACCACACAAAAATTTAAAAAAAAGATAAGAATTTAGATATGGATCTCAAAAAAATATGACAATATCTAAATTTGAATTATGATTTAGTAATATAATTATCTATTTTTCTTATGTATATCTATCAAAATTTTAAATTACTTAATGGGTCAAATTAATCAATTTTTAAGTTTTATTTAAAGAATAATCTGATTAGTTATCCTAGCTCCTAGACTTCGCGGTCACTGGCAAATGAGCTAACAGATTGGATTAAGCGAGGTCTAAGTTGTTGGAGGTAACATTCTCTCATTCCATAAATTTATTTATTTTTTTAATTTTATTTTTTTCATGTATGATTCTCTTTTTCTGCTGTTGGTTTGGTTTTGGTTTGGTTTCAGTTTCGGTTTTAGTGAGGTTTATGTGTTTGTTTACAGGTTTGCATGGTGGAGAAGAATTATTAGTGATTATGGTTGCAATCGAAGTATCTATGCCGGTTCTGTGTCAAGAATTTTGATTGAATTTTGTTTCCTTCAATGAAAATCATAAAATTGAAATAAAAAAATAGCTATCAAAATTTTTTATTTTTTATTGTCATTTTATTTTATAAAAAATGTGAAAATTTATTGAGAATTCAAGATTTTACTATAACATTAGGTAAATTTAAAACTTTTAAATATCATTGTGTTATTTATTTTTATCCTCTTTCCATCCCATTATACAATTACAACTATTTGTTAGTTTGTTAATTATAATCTAATTATTGAAATTATAGTTAATTTGTTACAGCTATAGTTTTATATAATAGTATAATATATAAGGATAATCTCCAAAAAAATCCAATCTATTTTTTAATTTTTAAATTGAAACATCAATTGTTTATGTTTATAAAACAAAACTGATAAACATAAATCCAAAAGTTACATATTTTTATTTATTTATTTTTAAATATGTAGGATATTTGCAAATAGAAAATGTTTGACACCTCAAATTTTTTTCCATAATCTGACTTATAATGATGCAGTCATAAGTGTCAATTTTTATACAAACATGAGAAAAGAATTAATTAAATTATATATTTGAACCAACCATATACTCAAACTTTGACTATTTCAAAATGTTATTTCATTATAATTCCAATTAAGATAATCTTCAACTCTTAATATATTTTTTTTATCAAATTATAATTTGATAAAAATTTAAAAAGATGAATTGTTGAAAATTATTGTTTTTTCCATCAAAATTGGTGGGAAAAAAAAATTGGGATAAGAATGAAATTCTTTTAAAAATTGATAAAAATTTAATGAAAAAATTAAAGAAATTCATATAAAATCAAAAAATTTATTCAAATTTAAAATCAAATTAGATAAAAACAGATTAAAAGAAAATGATGAAAGTTTGAAACTATTTTGAAACCTTCTTATTCTTAAAGAATAGAAATCCATGTGTGTATTATATTCATATTGTATTTTAGTTATGAAATCAAAAGAAATATAACTTAAACTATTGGATTAATAATAGAAACATTATATTAATTATTGTTAAATATCACTTCACTTCACATTTGATAATAAAATTGTATATTCGTCTTAATTATAACTTTTAAATTTGTATATTTTCAAAATAAGAAAAGGTACGTCATAACTCATTTAATCATATTTAACTTTTTTTAACACAAATTATCAAAATTGCACTAATTGGACTTATATATGTATTTTTTAATTTTTTAAAACTAATAATTTAAAATGTTATAAACATAAAAGTTAATTTATAAATTTTATGTCTATCACAAGATAAAATATTAACCTATTTCAAGATAATTATAATAATTTTTTTTTTTTAATTTATAAAATCCTTTATTATTAGTTAATAATGACTACAGATCAGGTTTATGGTGAGTTTGTAATTTTCTACTATGATCCCATATATCTGGTGGGATGGGACTAATCGAATTAGTAATAGGTTGAATTAGAATAAGACGAGGGAAGCAAAACTCGTCTCCCACCTCATTTCCTCATTGGAGCAAAGAATCCATCTGAGACGGGGTGGATTGGGACAGGAGAAAATGGCATTCCCAACACAAATATTTATTTTTAGAGTCTATTTGATTGGATGAATTATACTTTAAAAGTAGAATTATTAATTCATATGACTGATATTCCATTATTTTGATGCAAATTTTGTTATTAGGATTAAATTTTGATGGACATTCAACAAAGTTGACTAATTATTTTAATTCAACGATTAATGATGTAAATAAATGTGAACAATGAGTTAATAATTTATATAAAATGATAGTTATCATATTATATATTTTACTATTTTATTTCACCGGGTAAATGTATTATACAACAAATTGTGTATATAAGTATGAGAAAATAGTTAGTGTAACGGATGCATTATGCTACTGGTGCACCTCTCTCTCATTCATATTATTTTTTTTTTTGTTTTTGTATTTAGTAAAAATTTACAAATTTTATACTTTTTTTAATGTATTTTAAATATTAATTAAAATATTATAAAAATTCACAAAAATAAAAGAATATTGATTGAAAACTTAAAATTATTTTTAAAAAGTCCAAAATCAAGCATAGAATCCACAATTTTTAGACAAATTTTTTTTTTTTAAAAAATGTTCATTAGGAAATGTTTCTGAGGACTAAAAACTATTGTTTACAATTAAACTGACTTTTAGTGGGTTTTTTTTTAATGAATATGCAATTTTTGATTTTTCAAATCGTTAGTTTAAATTTTTTTTTTTTAAAAAAAAAAAATTAAATGTTTGACAAAAAACATAATAAAATCAGACTTAAAACCATTGCCAACCGGTGTTTGATAAATATAACTAAATCCTAGAACAAATAAATATATAGATTTACATTATTATGACTATCTATACAAAGATCATTAAAATTTGTCTAAAAATATTTTTTTAAGACTTAGCAATCATCTTTTAATATTTCCTAAAAAGTTATTGTTTTCAAGAAAAAAATAATTTATCAAACAAATTTTTAGCATTTTGTTCTTGCAATTTTTAAATAACTATTTGGTTCAGTGACATATAGTGAATAAAATGATCATTCTCTCATGTTGAATTGATTAAAAATAAATAAATAAATAAATAAAACATTATTCACCGTTCTATTATAATAGAATGATCATTTCATATGAAGTCTAAATAATTATTTTATTCTATAATGCAGCATAATAATTTAATAGAGAATGCTTTTAGAGATTTTTCAAAACTTTTGAACCTTCTTTGGGATTGTATAATGCAATTATAACCCTAAATATGATCCCTATAAAACCAAGATACAATGCCTAGACTTATCTTCTTCTTAATTTTCTGCATGTTAAAGCATTTCCACTCCAAAACCACTTTGAACAAAATTTGTAATAGTCCCCATCCTTCAAGCATCATAGTTCCTCAACCCAAGCACCCTAACTAGCAAATTTTCACCTCTTAGAGCTGTTAAATGAACCAAATTACTCGGACTCAACTTGTTAAAAGCTCATTCAAGCGTAAACAAGCCAAACTTTAACACAATTTTAAAATCGTTAAGTTTTCAAGTCAAACTAAAACAATTTACTACTCAGCTCGATAAAGTTACACGCACCATAAAAAATAAAACTAACTCAACTCATGTTCGACTCGTTGAAAACTCGTTCTATATCGACTTGTTATGTAAAAACAAGCCAAACTTGAACATAATTTTAAACATTAACAAACCAAGCTTGCAAAACCTACTTCTTGGCTAGTTTTCAACCCTTCCACTTAGTGGAACAAGGCTAGACATGATAAAAGCAAAACCACGTTTGATATAATAATAACACATCAAATGGAATTGTAGAAAGAAAAAGAGGATCAAAGAAGTTCTCATTTAACATTTTAATTTATTTTGATAGTTATTTTTCAACTTTAATCGTCAGTCCTAAACATTTAAAAGACAACACAATTCACAACTAACCATCCCTTGTCCAGCATTGGTAGTTGAAAATCGCAAAATTCCCTCTTTACATAACCCAAGAAGCATGTGATTAAAAAATTGGAAAACCAGAATTTAGCAATTTCCAAGGCACCTTAAATATTTTTAAAAATATTTAAAATTTACCTCACTGTACAATCCGACAATCAGGCCATCCTCAACAACCATCTCCTTTAGGACACTTTTTCTCAGACGAATTCGTTGACGAACTGGACTGCAGATCTTCATCCTGTTCCATACGCTCACCACCACTTTCTTTTCTTTCCAATTTTTCAGATTCTCCATTTCCTGAGGCAGCTGCTTTATGGGAATCAACGGGTGCAACTTCTCTAATAGTACCATTGTCGTTGCTAGAATTACTTGGTGGCAGCCACGTCAGCTGCAAATTGTGGCCTTGCCAGCATTTACCGTTCACAAATGCCCTCTCAGCTGAATGACGTGTTGTGAAAGAAATATGGGCGGAGCAATTTTTGGATGCCACCAAGTCGCTAGACTCTACATCTTCTAGCTCTATGGCAGACAGATCGCCATAAGCCGAGAAGTGTTCCTTCAAAACAGCAACCTAGGCAACATCAAGAAGTCAGTCTTACCATCAGTAGTAGAACAAAGCAACAAAGGGACAAAGCATGGACGCATAGAATTTACTCAATCCATTACGAAGGTAAATTTTACAATCATGAGATGTATATTGAGGGTTCTTTGGTTAGGGAAAATGTTCTAGGAGGCATTAAAGCATAGAGCATGGCGTGATGCTACAAATGCTTTGTAGTATGAAAAAAAAAAAGAAGAAAACACATCATGCTTAGAATGTATCGTGAAGCTTGTTCACAAATGTTACAAAATTGCCTCCTACTAGTGTAAATATTCTAGCGAATTACGTTTTGGAATGCACCTTCTGAAACATGGTACACCAAATGGTAAATTTAGAAATCCCGAAAGTTTTTTCCAATATACTGTATTTCATAATGGTTTAAAAAACTCAATATATTGAACTAAAATCTAAGGTGATCATAATGCTCATAGAAATGTGATGCAGCATAATTAATTCAGGGGGAAGGGAAAAAAAACTTACATAATGTTGGATATCTAATTATAAAAGAAATTACTGTAGAAATACCTTAAATTCTTATAGTGTAATCTATACAAGCTCCTACCCCTCTAATGGTTAGGAAAAACTGCCCCAGCCCACTTGATATCTTCCTTAATGATTGGCTCAACCCAGCTAGCCGATCCACTACTTTCTTTACTTCCCTATAAACATTTTTTCATAGTAATTACTTAACATCTAGTTTCTGCATTTTTGGATGGTTGGTGACAAAGTCCATGGCCTTTACCAGTCTAATTGATTGCTTTAACGACATTCCAATGTTTAAAACCTTTGTTATGGCCATGAAGATGCCTTCCCTCAATCTTTTAAGTTCAGCACCACTACAGATGTTTAAAACTTTAATTGATGGCAATGTCATATTTAACAACTCCTACATTTTGCTGCCAACAATTTGGTTACTTTTGCAGCATCTGTTAATACAAATTTGCTTTCCCCAGGGATGGAATGTAATACACGCTTGAGCTTCAATCCCTAATAGCCATTCTCTGAGGGAGGAGTGGAACTAAGGACAGGCGACGCCAAGAGCCCCAATATGCGATATTACCATTGATTGCCTCTAATATTCTTTGACAGAGGATCAAGTCATGTGTAAGGGATTCTCAAAAAACGGAAGCAAGTCAGCAAAGAAGTTGGCTTTGAAAGAATTCCATGTCATCAACTTGCTATTGAGGATGAGCCAGAAGGGAATCTCTGCCAATCCATTTGTCTCCAGGGGCTACCAAAGGCACTGTTCACTGAAGATTTCGTTGGGCTACCTTTTCGGATTGATTAAAAAGACTGCCCTAATTTCGGCTTAAAGAACAAATTTCAGTGGGGCTAAATCACCAAGGCCACGTGGTGTCTGCCTGGGGGTGATCCAAGAATTCAAAGTTGGAATCATGCCAACAAAGAATTTGAACCAAATCGGAGTTCATAGTGGAGCGGGAGAGTCTAATGCCTCTAAAAATCAAACTGTATCTTGGAATGAACTCTTTTAAAAAGGAGGATAAGAGGCGGAAATTCATATCGAAATTCAAGATATTTACTATGTGAGAGGGAGTTTTTATGTGCATTAGGGCCGAGTTAGGCCCAGGCGTAGTAATGGGCCGTTCTATGGGCCGTGATGAAAAGGGCTTAGCAAAGTGGACCTTGCTGTTAGCTCGGTCCAAGTATGGTTACAGTCGCTACGATTGGAGTGGTGATAATTAGCTCGGTCATAGTATTCGAAGCCGAGGTGTTTGGGCTTCTTAAGGTCCACCTTGCCCTCGTTAGCCCGGCCAAAGCTTGCTGCAGTTAGCTCGGTCTAAACAGACAAAACTGAGGTACAAGTGAACAAGAGCCGAGCTATGTGTTGCATATGAAGGCGCTGGATTAAGTGTGACAAAGGGCTAGTGTTAGCTCGGTCATACTGTTATCCAACTGTGGTAAAACTAACTCACTTGGTTTAAGCAGTGAGGGGGGTGTTGAAGGAAAAACATTATCTTTCAGGAGTGTGATTCCTAGAAGGACTCTACATTGAGGAATAAGAGTCCTACTAGGATTGGGCCAGGCAAAAAACTATAAAAGCTCTCAACAGAACTTATGTATATGTATCACAACTTTGATTCTCGAATACACAGAGCTTTTACCTATTTGTCTATTTGGCTAATTTAGGCATCGGAGAGGTATCCGGCACACACTCGCCAGCTAGCTCACGTTTGTGTTTTCAAGGAGTAAAGCGACGACGTTCGGAGGAGCGCAGACTTGATCAACAGGATTATACGAGAACATTATTTCATGCTCATACACTGTGGGTTTTGAAAATGATGATCTAAAGATTCCCATTGAAATTTCAAGACATGGTTTTCTAAAGTGGGAACATGCTTTAGCGGGCTTTTTATTGATAAAAGACTATCCTTCCAAAAGATTAAGTCAAGGCCCAAAAAATTGTAGAACGATAATCTTGATGATATAGTTACTCTAGACAACGGTTTTTTTTTTTTTATTTTTAAGATTAAAAATGAGGATGCTTTGTTGATAGTAGACCTTTTTATTTTGGGATTATATTAATTGTTTTCAAGAGATGGCATTGCGGTATGCAATTGACTAAGAAATAATTTTCTAGTGTCCCAATTTGAGTGAAATTTTATAATATCTCCCTTGAGCTATGGGCCGAAGATGGTTTGAGTTATGTAGCTAGTGTTGTTGGTACTACTTTATTTTGTACCTTGATGAATATACCCAATCACTTAGTGGACTTACTTTTACTAGAGGTTGTGTCGAGATTCATGCTAATAAGGAAATTTCAAAATCCTTCATGCATAATTTGGGATATGGTGATCCTTATGAGGTTAAGAGGTAAAGAATTATAAGGGCAAAGATAGTGTGCATGCTTTTCCTAAAGATGAGAAGAATGAGCCAAAAGTCACCTTATCCTCAAATTATTTCAACTGCCGTGTGGTTAATATCATGTAATATGTGACATGTATATTGTATGAAAAAAGATACGAAACACAGACACATATCGCTGGTGAGTTGAATCGCTATCATATGATTTCATATTGTACTGTGATTCAACGTATACCAAACAATCAATTCATCTTTATCTTCTCCATCACTTTTGACCCTGTTAACAACTTTTTTTTCTTTATCAATCCCATGACCGACACTCACTGAACAACCATGAACTATGTTCTCCGAAAATCCCTTACAAAAGAGACCCAATTCCAAATGAACTCGCAAGAAAAAATGACTCTCATATTGTAGCATTTGAGTTTAGAACCAAGATTTGAGCCAAAAAGGCTTGTTTTGACCATGTCAATAAACTGTATAACAAGTATGTTTGGGACTACTTATATCTAGAAAAATAGTCTCAAATCATGAACCAAATGGACCTAAAATCAAAGCAGCCAGGCCCGACTGGAAAAAAGAAAGAAAGAAACTTATGACTCATCTTTCATATTTGAAATGAAATGTCATTTATCTTTTATTATTAAATTTTCAAAATTTTCCTAATTTCTTATGAGTTGGATAGTTGGGTTTTAAATGGATGTATATTTAGCTCTTTAACCAATTTGTAAGTTTCTTAGAGAGAATTTTCAAGTTGTTAGTCATATGATTTAGTACTTTATTCTTACAATATATTTATATATTATATGAAAATACTTTTTTTTATTATCTATATCCATATATGATTATGTATCTTAAAATACACAATACTGAAAAGTGATACAATGATACACAATATGTATTACGATTGACAACACTGATTTCGAGGAGCTTGCCTTGTCTTATTCCAAGGATGGGTGTGATTCCAAGAGTGAACAAAGTACTAAGAATGAAGCAAACTGTCCATCCAAACAACCCAATGAGGATGGTTCAAGGGGTCTTACCGACAAAAACGATAGGGTTGCTTTAAGTTGTGGCTGAGTTCTCTCCTCCAAAAGAAGACAATGTTTCTTCAAGTAAAGTTGAAGCAACAGGGATTATGGAGATCACATCTTCCCCTAGGGATGCTATACATAGGAAGCTTAAGGAAAAGATCAGCAACCTAAAATTAGCTAGAGTATAAGCTATCGCAATCTCCGTTTAACCAAGGAAATCAAATCATGCCTAAAGCCTTCTACCAAATCTTAAAGTTCTAGGAAAAGCAAGGAGATTAGGGCTAATTCAAATATTCACTTATAGGTTGTGAATGTGTATACCTTTCCTCTCAGTTTGTGGGAGGGGGTTAGATTTCTAACCTTAAGAGTTAGTGATTTGTGAATTGTTCAACCTATCCTCCCAGGTTGTGAGATGATGTTTTGTGGCCTATCATCTCGAGCTTATAAGAGATTTTCTTTCTAGGATACGTCTTTTGAGGAGGTATGGCTGCTTTGGCAGTGTCTATGACTGCCTTTTGAGGATGTGTCTTGAGCCTCATCATATTTCTATTGTCTTTTGACCATTGGTTCAATGGTAAAACCTTGGCCTAATAACTCTGAGACTATGGGTTCAAGTCTCGGGGCAACCACTTTGTGCACTATGCTGAAGGTTAGGTGTGTACCCAATCTTTTCCCTCCCAAACACACATTAATGTGTACTAATTGGGCGTTGTTTTTTTAATAAAATGATCACTAACCCAAAACAAAGAAAAAAAATGTAATACTACACAAAAAGGTTGAAAAAAGGTAAAATATAACAATGTATATGAAACATAGAATTATCAGAGGGCACATTTGAGAAGTTTAGCCCCAAAGAAAAAATGTGACACAAGTAGACTTACTGCACCAAGCAAGGAACAAAATGCATATAATGCGCAAAACATCCCATATGAAACGGGAGAGGAGGGAAAGACTCACATTTGCAAGGCCTGTTGGTAAAGGTGGAATAATTTTGAAGGTGGTGGGACGGTTGTCCAATTTGAATTTATTCATGACAAAAGGTGCCCCTGCTGGTGCCAAAGGACGAATTGAATGCTTCACACTTGAAGGTTCCTGCAGTGTCGCAACTGTACTAGGCTTGGAACTTTGGTGCACGATGTCCTCCACAAATTTATTCTTCTCAGCCATCACTTCTGCTAGTGATGATGCCACTACAGTACCAGAATCAGCAAACCTGGGAGTTGTAGCTTTTGCAACATCAGCTACTGTTCCTGGTTTATGTCTCTTAGCCGCCTGCTCAGACAGTACTTCACCTTTGGGACCTGTAGCCTAAAGAAAGTGACAATTTGAGGTTAGCTAACCTAAATATTTCATGTTTTATTGTTGATCATCAATAATTTTACATCATGTTACTGGAAATTGGGAGGGCAGGAAGATAGCAATTAGCAAGCAAACAACTTTCCACAACAGTCTCTTCCCCCCCTTTCCCATTCAGTAATCAAATCACTTAATGTCATTGTCACATATAAGATTCCAACTTACTCAAATCAATAAAATTCTTAGCAATGTTAGTTTTGCATGGTGTTCCTCAACATGATCTTATAAATAACATCAAGTTTGTACGTGTCCCTAGCCAGACCCTGGCACAATTCTAATATATGTAGAAAATGCATGGTCACAATACGTAGCACATATAAAATGCAAGGTTCTACAACAAGAAAAATATAAACCAAAGGCAAAAGTGGAAAAATAAAAACACAAAAAACAAACTCAGAAATGATGAGTCAGTAAAACTGAGTATTACTTGTTTCTCAAGTTTGTCCAACTGAAGCCGAAAGTCATTGCGTTTCTGATCAAGCAATTCCTGCTTCTTACGTAGTTCCTCCTTCAAAAGCTCTAAATTCTCCAGCTTCTTTTGCAAAGGAGGTGGGGCTTTCGGACTATTAGACACCACAAGCTTAGGGTGATGGTGATCAGAGGCAGGCACAGAAGCAACAGAAGCATTGGGAACACTAAGTTTTGGAGCTGCAGATTGGAGATTATCCTTTCCACTGTGAGCAACAGACAGATGGGGTGGAACTGAAACAGCTGCCACCTCACGAGTTACTGAAACACTATTAAGATTACTTGTTCCATCATCAGGAATGCTGTCCCGATTAGCCCACCATAGCTTGATAAACCTATTACCCATTACAGCATCAGGTGCCTTCAGAGCAGCCTCAGCCTCTTCCCTTTTAGAGAACTGAACAAAAGCTCGTTCACTATTCAATGGAATATAAATGTCAATAACCTCTCCAAATTTTTTAAAATGTGAAAGAAGGGCCTCTCTTTTGTTGTCTTTGTGAGGAATGCCATTCACAAATAGAGTACGTAATGCTTTTTGAGAAGGTTTCCGAGTAGTATGTCCAGTATCACCTTGTGTCTTCAGAGATGAATCAATTGCTTGTGAGCCAATGTTTTCCACAGTGATCCGCTTCCCTTGTCGGGCAGGTTCCTGAAGATTGGTTAATGGTGCTTGTTCATCCTTTGCTTCATTTTCAATATAATTTGAGAAATTTCTGGTCAAATCAATTTTCTCCTTAGTTTCCAGTTTGTTCTTTGTAGCAATTCTTCCCCACACAGATGAACTTGTACTTTGAGGTCCAGCAGCAGTAGTAGTGCTCCTCACCAGGTGTTCATTGTCAGAGCCATCGAATAACCTGCCATGGTGACGGGCAGAGGGGTTGGCATCTAACAAAGATTCAGTTTCATCAAGCTTAGATGAATTTAGTCCTAGCGGTGCTGTTGAAGTCTCAGTACAAACATTAGTCCACAGAGGCTGATCAGGATCATAAAAATCAGCACCAGCTGAACCAGTAAAAACACTATTCATGCCCAATCCATCATCAGTCATTCCAGGCTTGCTACTTTTGCTATGTAAACTCTTGCTATTTATCAATGTGCTTGAAGGAGCACCAACAGAAGGTAAAACAGAGGGTGTTCCCAGCAGGTGAGCACTTGGAAGTGATACAGGGAGATTGAACTGTGAAAGGCTCTGTAACCCCGAAAACAAAAATTTAGTTTAAGCAGTTTAACATATGCTCAAGCAACAAACTGCTACTTTAAGAAAATTAGAAATCGTATATTGGAAATCAAGCAATGACAGTGGAAGATGCCACTAGCGCATGCCAATGACATCTTCCCTATCCCAAGCATTATCCAACATCAAATTGACCATTGAAATTTGAGTGACAGTAGATGCATGCAACATATCACATACCTGAACATCTTCAACAACAATCCGATTGACACCATGTTCCATTGGACACATGTCTCCTCTTAGGCAAAAACCACGCTCCTCAAAGTCTCTGCACCTTTGGCGTGGAAGACCTATATTTAGTGAAGGACTGATTGATGGTCTAGTTCCTGCAACCAAGGAATGGAGTGTATCCATACCACCATTTGGCATTCCTGGAATCAGTCCAAATGCACCATGATGCATTTTGTGAGTTTGAAACATTTGGCAACCCCCTCCCTGGAAACAGACTTGGAGCAACAGATCCCTGTGGAACCATTTGAGAAGCAATATCAATAGAGATGAACCTAGGATCACGTTGGCTCCAGGAACCAGATTCCCTTCCTCCACCCCTACCAGGACCAAGCTCAGCAGAAAATGATTGATTAACCCTGTTTGGAGCTCTATGAAATGTGGTGAAGCCAGGGCGTCGTTTATCGAACTTTGCAGACAGGTCTTTCTCCAGAGGGGACATATTATAACTTTTCCAGGTTTCGCTGGACTGAGAATCATTTTCCCTATAAGGATGTCCATTTTCAAAAGGTTTATTTCTCTTTCTGTATGGCCTTATTAGAACTTGTTCCATAGCATCTCTCTCCAAAGATTGAGACCGTGTCTCCCGTCTACGATGCTTATGATTACGATCATCGTCGTCGTCATCACTGATTTCTTGCTCTTCAGGATCACTGACACAATCAGAAGGAGAAAGACCCCTGGCCTTTGGAGATGAAACTTCTAGCTCCATTGGATTCCTTTCAGAAGAAATAGAATGCTCAGCTTGTTTTATGGCATTCAAAGTTCCAAACTGCTATTGGTGAGGCAATCAAACCTCGTTGGCTAGAAATATTTCAGCAGTTACTGGCATACCTATTAAGGGAAATGAATCAAATATAGAAAAAAAGAAAGAAAAATCATTATCATGAACCCTCACAACAATAAATAAATAGCTATATCTGTATGTTCATTTACAACTATATATGTGCACGGGGAAAAGCATGTATATTGGCACTCAAAAAATAAACACACTTTCATTGGACAAATTGGCTTAGCATAAGTCTACGTTTTACAGAAACACAATTAAAACAATGAATTGCGAGATCAAGGTATAACAAACAATTGCCTTGACAACGTGAAATTGCTAGAGAAGATGTATAATCCACAAGTATGCAAAATATCAACTTATGTCCCCTGAGGTCTTAAATAACAATTTCCACTAAGGTTTTCAATAGCAATTCTCCACAAACTATAATATTTATAAAGTTACTCTAACTGCCACCTCGTTACTAATCTGATTATCTCAAGTGTCCTCTCGACATCAACTTTAGTGCGGGGAAATGACACCTACACTTTGTAAAGTTCTCGTGCTAAGCACCCTCCAAAAAAGCCACATCAAGCATAACAGAACTAGAAGCCAAGCGTTCCTCCTACGATTCCCCACTCCATCCCCAACCAACCAAACAGGCTCTTGCTACATCTTTTTAGAATACCCAATCCAGACGACACATGGTTTGTTAAAACTCCTATCTGAATCTTACAATCCTATGATCTAACTAACCATTTGGACAAAACCAATCTCAATCATGTAGAAAATCCCTTGCAGGTAGCATCTTTTGAGCTTGATAGTTGGATCTTATTGGATTGGGGAATCCTGATTGAGGTCCAATCCTACTAATCCAATTCAACCTCGTTTTGTAAATTGCTTTTTTTTGTCATTTTTTATGTTTGTGGCCTAAAGACCAAATTTACATGGTCCAAACGAAACCAAAATAAGTCATGGAACCAAATGTGCTAAGAAAAACAAATATGGACATAGCCATTCAAATATTGTCATAATTTGGAAAAACTAGAGAATTGAATCTCGTTGTATAGTAGATCATTTGGCTACCTTTGTTGCCTTTTTTTTCTTTTCTGCATTTAATAAAATAGCCTAAGATCTAATATTTATTTGATTTTCCATTTCTGTCTCTTATTGAATGCTTTTCTTTGTCTCTAATTATGTTATACTCTTGTCTTTTTTTCATTCAACTACAAGCTAAAATACAAAGTTACAAATCACTATTCAATCATTTTTTCTATTTCTTTAATTTTTTTAATTTATCCTTTTTATTTTATAAGACTTTTTCCTTTTATTTTCTTTTAAGCTGCTCTCTCTTACATTGCCTTTTGTTCTATTTATTGCCATTGTATAATGCAAGAACTATAGATCTTATTTATAATACATAAACCTATCATTTCCTTTTATTTCTTTCTCTCTTCTTTTGAGTTGTAATCTATTTCCAAATCTAACCTATTACTATTTTTTTATCTTTGCTTCTATTTCCAAAAGCAAAGTGCAAAATAATTTGGCACAAACCTCTTCTGGATCTCTTACTCAGAATGTGTTGCTTCGGTGCAAAAATGCTTTGCTTTGGTTGCTTCTATGGTTATTTTGTTGGGTAATATGGGTTTGAATGGGTAAATGGGTTTGTAATAGGTTTGAATGGGTAATATGGAAATGCTTTGCTTTGGTTGCTTCTATGGGTAAAATGCTTTGGTTGTGTATGCAAGTAAGCTCTGTCTTGGTATTTCCATATCTTTCTTTTGGTGCATAGTTTGACATTTATGGTATGGGTAATATAGAATTCAAAGTGTTCCTATTGAAATTTGAAGGTACTCTACATCACTCATGGAAATGAAAGAAGTTACGACTCAAGGATTTCTTAGCACAGCAGGCTCATACATTTCAAAATGTCAGCACTGGTCCTTTTTTTTTTTTTTTGCTGGAAGTCAGCACTGGTCCTTCAACCACCAAACATAGATATACAATATGAATGAAGTTAATCAAATATAGTTTCTAGAAGGAAAAGGAACAAGGTGTCCTCCCACTGATCACTACGATGTCTTCCCAAAAAAATTGACTAGATAAATCTTCAATATGTACATGTTTTAAGAATGAACAAAAATTGTCAAGAAGTAAACAATGTAATCATACTATATGATTTTGAGGTTCATCCTCATTGAATAATATAATAAAACTCAAAAAATACAACTTTTATTATTTATAACAGCTACAAATCTTGGAGAAAGAAACTTCACAACATTTCTCCTTATGACATCTCTCATGGTCAAAAAAGGGTCATGAACAAGAAGCATCAACACTTCTACTAAAAAGGCATGCCGTGTTAGACATTGAGAATCTGCAGATACTCCTAAAAGAGTGTCTAACATTTCTTCATCTTGTCTCAATTAAAGTTTTAAATTCATAATATCAAACACTTTGGCGACACTTCTTGATTCTTAAACCCTTTGAACACGACCATTAGCAATGTTCTGCATTCTTCAGAATATAACTTATGCACTCTAAATATGTTTTGAAACATTTATAAGATAAATACATAATGTGTTTCTTAATGATCTACAATTTTTTTCATTCTTTATATGCAATTATTACATTAATTTCATCTTGATATTTATGTTATTGAATATATAGATTTTTAATTTTAATTAGTGTTTAATGTTATGGTTTTTTTTTTTTTTTTGTTGCCTTTGAATAAACTATTAATATATTGACATATATTACATTTATAAAAATATAAATTTTACTTGTGTATCGTGTTTTGCATTTTTTGGAAATTATCATTTCAACTTTTCCATGTTATGTCATGTGTCCATGCCTATACTACTTGGGTTAAACCCCTTTACTGATCATGACACATATTCACTAGCAAGTTTGCAGAAGCATTTTTTTTTTTCCCTCATGAAAGGTGTGAACAAATAGCACAAGAAGCCATTCTTGGGCACCATGGTAAAAAATAACATGCACCATCAATTGCCATTGTTTTGAACTGAGTTAGATAGTGCACTTGGGAAGTGTTTGCCAATATAGAGATTAAATGTTTTGAAGTCACTCTATTGTAGACATGATTTTATTTTCCATATCACACCTTGCACCTTCAACATACTAACTCTCTTCCAACTCCACTCACCGTTTTGTATACACCTGAATCTTCACAAATGAAAGAAATGTAATACATGTAAGCGAAAAATTCCTTTGACCATGCATGACTTAAGGATCGCATTGTCACATTGAGACCTTAATCTTGAAGCTTAACACAAACACATGTGAATTTCCAATCACCTCATCTCAAGCTTTTGCCATTTCAATTTTCACATGCCCCTAACTAAGAATTTAACATGAGGTTTAAATAGAAAATAGCATATTGCAATCAAAACATTTTATCTGAAACTGAGTTAGGCCGAGCACAATGTCAATAAATTTAATTCAGACCAATCCTGATTTGTGTAATAAAATTGCAGTATGGGTTGGTTGGGTGAAGCTTGGCTCAATCATGCACTTATTTTCTTTTTTAAAAGGAAAATAAATACTACGCTTGTGGGATACAAGTACGACACCACATCGTCTATCTCACTGGAATGGCACCCCGACTATGCACTAAATTATGCTTGACTGATCCCACATCACTCAGGTGCCTAAACCCATAATTCATTCAGCAATCGACACATATATCACAGATAGTGAAACTTAATGAATCAGAATGACACATCAGCTACGACATTTACACCGAGAAATTTATAACTATACCAACACATTTAAATAGATTCATAATTTCTGTAAACAAATGAAAACTCTCATCATCCAAAATAAAACAGGGAAATAAATGACAACTGCTTAATTTTCCAAGTCTTCAATCAAACCAACGGTACAAACATTTCTGATTTCGAGCCCATGTACCAAAAATTGACAGCAGGGGGGGGGGGGGGGGGGGGGGGGGGAATCAAAAAGCGCCTCTCTAGAACTGGAAATAAAAATCAATATCAATCGTAGACAACTCAAATCCAGCAAGAAATAAATATCATATTCAAATTCAAGCTTAAATTAACAAGAACACAAATAAACCAACCTCGTTATACAGATTTATGTCATTAGGGTTTCGATTCTCTCCCTATATAGCTCCGCTTAGCCTCGATAGCAACCGGACCATACTTTCCCCTCCCTCTCTCTCTATAATGTATATGTTTCTCTCTCTAAAACTCACTTTCTCACGATTGCAATGAAGAAAAAAAACTGAGAGGGGGTTTTACAGAAGCATTTGTAGAGAGAGAGCTATGCCCAATTCGAAGAACTCAAACCCAAATTTTTGCAAAAATCTGACTATTTTAGTGCTCGATATTGGCGATTTTAATCATCGATTGAAAAATATATATGTATTTCTAGGAGTTTAGTTAGTGAAATTATATATTTGACCCCCGAGGGCTTGGGTCGGGGTTAAACAGTATGTAGATGGAGACGAACAACGATGACGAGTGTGGTGAGCATATTGAGAGAGAAGAAAAATTAAATTTACACTCATGGCCCTTGAAGTTATGCCAAATTTCATTCACCTTGTTTTTAATTTTTTAAAAATTAATTTTTTTATTTTTAATAAATATTTTTAAAATTTACAGTAATTTTTTAATTTTTTAATTTTTAAATACACCTAACTTAAAAAGTAATATATATTTGTAAAAAAAATTAATAAATACACAAGAATATAAAAATCTATTGAATTTTTATATTTTTTATATTATTAGTGAATTTTTATTCAGGTTTTCGAAAATAGTTTTGAAAAAATTCTACTTTTTTATTTTTTATATTTTAATATTTTTAATGATTTTTTTAATATTTTAAGAATTTTTTTTTTAATTTTTAGATATACCTAACATAAATACACTTAAAAAGTATAATATTTGTGAAATTTTTTTAAAAAAAATATACTAAATACCAAAAAAATAAAAAAAAATAAAAATTCAATACATTTTTTACAAATATTTTACTATTTAGGTACATTTATGTAAGGTGCATCTAAAAAAATATAAAAAATTACTTAAAATTTAAAAACAAAAAAACACGAAAAATAAAAAACTTAATTTTCAGAAAATTGAATTCAGAAAACTGAAACTAAACACATTATATAAGGATTTTTTTTACAAATATTATACTTTTTAAGTATATTTATGTTAGATGTATTTAAAAACTAAAAAAATTACTTAAAGTATTAAAAAAATTCAGTGAAAATAAAAAAATACAAAAAATACTGAAAAGTAGATTCAAAATTCTAAAACCAAACAAGGTTCTCCTTGTCGAGAATATGGATATTAAGCTCTCTTTTTCATTTCTTTCTTTTTTTTTTTCTTAATTACAAATACAAATTTTACTTAAAATATGAATTATCCTATATAATATATCCCACCCTTTTAAATTTCTAATCACGTAGGTCATATTTGATTTACAAGACTAATAGTGAACGTATTAATAATTCTACCAAATTAGTATGGTATTCACTATCTAATTAAATTAGTATGATAAATTATCCCCATGTCCATTGTTTGATTTGCATTGGATACGAAAACATATGAAGGTAAAAGAATTTTTTTATTTTATTTCCCAACTTAGGATATATAATCTCACCCCTACTCCATTATTAATAATCCCACAAATTTATTAATTATCTATTGGATTAATAATCCTGAAACAAAATTTTAAAACAAATACAAGATTATTGGGCCCACAGATTAATAATCTCAATCACATATTCTAATCCTATCAATCAAACATGCGTATAATATATTATTATTTTTTTTATTATTATATAGAAGAGTAGTTAGTTACATAAAAAAAAAATTCTAATAAGAGATATTTATAATTTTAAAAATTACAAAAACAATTTGTATTTTATATAAATTTTTGAAAATATATTTGTAATTTACCTAGACTTTTTCCCTAACCAACAAGCAAAACTTTTAGATAACAAAATGATTAAATAATTCAATTTTGGGTTTTTTTTTTTTTTAGAGTCCCTAATATTAAGATTTTATATCATAAAGGGCATTTAATATTGTTATGACCCAACCCCAGGGGTTAGGTTTGGAATCGCAACTTATTAACTTATGTTAGTTGTAGCAAATTAAACTGCACAATCGGAAATAAAATAATAAAACAGAAAATTTACTTTATTTTACTATTTAAGAAAAATAAAATACATCTATAGGGCTTTAGTTATTTTATTAGTCAGTGATCGGCCCCAAGTAGGACAAAAAGGAAGTAAAACTAAAAAGATTAAAAAAAAAAAAAAAAAAAAAAAAAAAAAAAAAAAAAAAAAAGTGGTTCAACAGCAATCCATGTGCGGGTTCCATTTTGAGGGGTTATGTGTTTCCCCTACATCTCGTCACCTGAAAGGGTAACAGGTATAAGCACACAACAGAGTGAGAAATATTATACCAAGAGTGTAGGGAATACAAAATAACCATGGATAATTAGTTAGGCTAAAATATTTACATAATTTAATTTGAAATAACAATTTATTTAAAGTGGCAAAATACAAAAATCATGTAAATAAATAACTATAACCACGGTATAAAACAGAACAGAATAGAAGTCACAGAAGTGACAGTCAGAACAGAGGTCAATGGATCCATGACAGAGGACCACAAAGTGGCCAAAGAGAGGCGCATGGTTATTTAAGTCCCCAAAGGCGTGAGACTCTCATGGTGGTTCTTACAGAGCATAATTGTTTATAAGGTTATAGTCAAATATATATTAAAATTTAAACAAACATATATATGGGTTTCCTTGTAAATAAATAGAGTTTAGAAACTAACCCACGTAACTCAAATATTTATAAAACATAACTTTTATTAATATAACTTAATAAAATATAACTTGTATAAAATAAGTTATGGTAACTCCAAACATTCGTAAAACATATAATGGTAAATCAAGGTATAATATAACTCACCTTACTATTGACCCTTAACCTTTCCACTATCACAACCTTATAAGCTCCTTACTTTCAAAATTCACGTACCTCCCTCTCTTTTTCTTTCTTTCTTTCGTTTTTCCTTCCTTTATTCACAACACTCTTGTTCCTTATATACTACTAACTGAGCCTTCATTCACAACACTCTTGTTCCTTATATACTGCTAACTGAGCCTTGATTGAGTGACACGTAACCTCTTTATGGAGGGCCATTATTATGCTAATAGATTGAGTTTTAATTATATATTCAAATAAGAGATTTGAATTTTTTTAGGATAAGTATAGATCTCTCAAATAAATATAGGGGGATTTGGTCATAATCCCCTCACTATCTAATTTCTCTTTCAAAATGACAAGAATTATATAAGTACTTTCAAACCCCCCTGATATTTTAAAACTTGTTTCTTTTACTATATTACCCTCATATCTATCAGCTCTCCTATTAAGACATTTTCACTATGTATTTTACAGTAAAATTTTACTCTGTATGAAAGTAAAATTTTACTCCGTATGCAAGTAAAATTTTACTCTGTATGAAAGTAAAATTTTACTTTGTATGCAAGTAAAATTTTACTCTGAATGAAAGTAAAATTTTACTCTGTATGAAAGTAAAATTTTATTCTGAATGAAAGTAAAATTTTACACTCTAAAACTAAAAGTAAAATTTTATTCTGTATAAAAGTAAAATTTTACTCTGAAAAATAAATAAACTGTAAGACTTTGAAGCTAAAAGTAAAATTTTACTCTACATCATTCTCTCTACATTTTCACTATGTATTTCAGAGTAAAATTTTACACTCTGAAATTAAAAGTAAAATTTTACTCTGTATAAAAGTAAAATTTTACTCTGAAAAATAAGTAAACTATAAGACTTTGAAGCTAAAAGTAAAATTTTACTCTGTATAAAAGTAAAATTTTACTCTGGTTCTGTCAAATGAAAAAAAACAGAGCAATAGAACCAGAGTAAAATTTTACTCTGGTTCTATCAAATGAAATTTGATATTTACTTTGAAAAATCGATAGAACTTTGAGCTATGAGCTTTGAATCAGGCCTATAATCCTTGAATCAATCGATGTTTACTTTGAAAAACATTGAATCATGCCTATAATCCTTGAATCAGGCCTATAATCTGAAAATTTTAGAGAAATCTCAATTTTTCATACCCCGGTTCTTCAGATTTTTCAGATTTTTAAAACTTTGAGCTTTCAAAAATCTATATATTCGAATTCAAATCTCAAAACACACAAACAAACACATATATGTAGATATATATATATATATATCAGATCGGAATATGTAGATATATATATATTCATATTCAAATTCAAATCTCAAAACACACAAACAATTCAAATCTCAAAACATATAAACACACACATATATATAGATATATATATATATATAGAGAGAGATATATTTACAGTTTTGGTTGAAATCACGAGAGCTCCGAACGAATTCAATCCAAACCCTAGGAAAGGAAGAGAGAAGGAAAAGAGAGAATTATACTTTCGAGGTCTATTTAAGTTCAATTTCGGAAGTATATATATATATATATATATATAAAGCTCTTGATCTGGTTGGTGCTTTGTATATTTGGCTTGTTTGTTTCTCGAGAAATTATCAAAAGCAAAAAGAAAGTTTAGCATGGAGTGGCCTGCGTATTTGGACGAGTATGAAAAGCTCCTGACAACGATGAACATGAAAAATCAGATTCTTATTCCACCGCCTTTCTGATAATGAGGACTGCAAAACAGTGGGTTAACTCGAACCAATCAAGTATAAGAGGGTGGCGAAGAGAGTGGGAAGAATTAGTTAAGGGCATAATAGTCATATAAAATATTTAAATAATAAATTTTGTCCTTTAGGAAAGACTTTATAATTATGAGGGGGTTTAAAAAGTATAATTTTTTTCTTAGTCCTTTTAACAATAAAAGGAAGGTAAAGGGGGTTTATAGCTAAATTTCCCATAAATATATACTTAGGCCATTTGTTTGGGCCAATATTACTAAACATTTGCTTGGCCAACAATAGATTACAAATTTTCTTTTCTTTTTATTTATTTATTTATTTGTTTTGGTGCTAAATTTTTCAGTGTTCCTAATGTAAATTAAATTACACCTTATCATTTATCATCGTAAAATTAATTATTTTATTTTACTTTACAGATTATTATCATTATTCTTGTTATCAATATTATTATTTATTTACTATTGTTAACTTTAATTTGACCCAATTAGTATTATAATTCCATAAATGTGTTAATTTGGCCCAAAATAATAATCTATAATTAATCCTATATTTGATAACCCAATGCCAAATTAGATTTATATATTTATTTATTTAATAATCTATCATCACATGCAACCATAATTATATATAACTATAAATATTAATGTAGTATTTAATTAAACGTTCAGGGTGTCACAAATATTTTGAGGCATTTCCCATAACAAGCCTAACAACTAACCTATTTTCCAAAATAAGCTTAGTTTGATTG